GAGAGAGAGAGAGAGAGAGAGAGACAGAGAGAGAGAGAGAGAGACAGACAGAGAGACTGTTTGAGAAAAGAGAAGCTCATCAATACAATAACGCCTAACAACAGCCATACAGTGCAGGCAAGAAGCGAGACAGAAAAGAAGAAACAACAGTGAAAACAGAAAAGACGTTAAAGATCGGCACCCTGAAGACGTAAAAAGAAGAGAGAGAGAGGGGGAGAGTGTGAGAGGGAGGAAGATAAAAAAAAAAGGTGGGGGGTGGGGAAGAGAGAAAGCGAGAGAGAGATATATATATAGAGAGAGAAATAAAGTAAAAGAGAGAGAGAAAGAAAGAAGAACGTGAGGGAGAAAGAAAGTGAGAGAGAGATCGATCGATCGATCACTCACTCAATCAATCAATCAATCAATCATTCGATCGATCGATCGAGTTCATCACCACCATCATCAGTCTGTGACACACCCACACATCCTCACCTTGGTGGCCCCGATCTGGTACTCGTCCTTGAACTCTGCCCCCTGGGTCTGCAGGATGAGTTTACACACGTCCCAGGGAACTTGGCCTGTCTTGATCTGTTGGCCCTTCATCAGGCAGTGGTATCTATTGGGGGGGGGGGAGAAGGGAGAGTCAGAGATCAGAGGTCACAGGCGAGATGAGATGAGGTGAAGTGTGGTGTGAGGGGAGGTGGGGTGGGGTGGGGTGAGGGTGAGGTGAGGTGAGATAAGATAAGATATGGTGAGGTGGGGTGGGGTGAGATGAGGGTAGGTGAGGGTAGGTGAGGTGGGGTGAGGTGAGGCGGGGTGAAGAGAGGTGTGAGATCAGAAAAGATGAAGTGAGATTAGATAAGAAGAAGTGGGATAAGATGAGATAAAAAGAGGAGCCCTTCATTAGGCAGTGGTATCTATGGGGGTGAGACTAGGTCAGACTTGATGAAATGAGATAAGGCGAGGTTCTATTATTTTTGTTTCACTTTAAATTATCAAATTCCAACAAAACAATAAAGCAGTTCAGACTGGTAACCTACTACAGTGTAGCATGCACAAAGAAAACAGATTTTCCAAGTCGTGAATTTGTTCTTATATGTGTTTTCTTTGTATTTAAAACACGTACATAGCTTACTTTTGTTTCATTGTAAATTTTTTTTTTTTATCCAGTAAAACAATACCACAATTCAGACTGGTAGCCTACTTTTCCTGAAGTATGACTCGTACACACAAGCTAACCTACCTTTTGATGAAGTGCGGGAATTTGATCCGGACTGGATAGCCCATCTTGCGGATGCGGATTGTCTCCAGCATGCCGGTGTAGCGGAGCTGATCCATCACAACGATGTCCTCAAAGGTCATGGGAGACTTCGTGGCGTTGGGCTTGACACAGCGCACGAAGAAAGGGTTGCACCTGGGAATGTCACAATCAGAAAAGTTAAGTCGAACCTGTTCTAACTAACTGCCACTGGACCAAGAAAAAAATCACATGTACAAAAACCACTTCCCACTTGTTCAATTGTATGTTTTTTCTATTACAATTACACTGTACAAGACAATCACTTGCACAAGACAATCACCTGTACAATACAATCACAGGTACAAGATAATCACCTGTCCAAGACAATCACCTGTACAAACAACCACTTCCCACTTTTTCCATTGTGATTGTTTTTTCCATATCATAATGACACTGTCGGCAACATTCACTTGTCTTAGACAACCACTTTTCTCCTCAACATTGGCTGCTTGTCTTGGACAGGTATGCTCACATTCAATAAAATATGCGCATACTTTCATCTTGCCTCCTTCATTCCACGTCACAGCTGACAGACAGGTACCACTTTTCTTCTTGACCCACCAAGTTACCCATGTTGCTGACATTTCCCATCTTTGCAGGTGGTTGGAGGGTGCCACTGGTAGGTCCTACTTCTTTACTTTCCCTCTGTACTAACTATCTGTCTGTCTGACTTTTCCCCAGCACCAAATGACCATTATTGTGTCGATGTGCTTCTCTTTATTCAAACAAACAAAGAAACCATTCACATTTTCTTAAAAACGAATTTTCCTGCATGAATGACTCACTCACTCATAAGTTGGCTAAGCTATTCAAAATTACTTTTCATAGTGAACTGCTACTTCAGCACTTCAAAGTCCCAACAGTTGTACATTAGTACAAAAACAAAGGTGATCGTCAATACTGTGACAACCATCACAGCATTTCCCTCCTCTGCATTGAAGGCAACATTCTCTCCAGAATTCTTCTGAACAGCTTTCTTATCCATCTCCCTGCAAATAACTTAGGCTACTGCCAGACAGTCAACATGGCTTTCACAGAGAGAAGGGCACAGCAAATAGGGAAGCAGGTAGCGCTGGGCGGCTAGGTTCGCGACTATTGAAAGCTAGGAATCGTAGGACTTGACTCCGAACCCAATTACTCACTTTCTAATGATATAATTTCTTCCGGTAGTTATCAAAACATCTTGAAGATTTAGAATGACCTTGATTTCGGAACACTACAAAGCATCAGCTTTTATTTTTCAAAAATAAATTCTTTAAAAAAAAAGAAGATTTTAGTGATTTAAGTAGCTGATAACTGTTGGTTAACGTAAAAAGGAGTCGGAACTTTTCTTCGGTATTAATCGCGGGAATCAGTTCCGGGATCGATTCTTCGCCCAGCTCTAGTAGCAGGGTCTATAAGTTCTCTTCCTACCTGGATGTTCCTGGTCATCATCATTTCATGATGTAAGAACTTTTATCATAATTCATTTCCCCCGTTTCCGGATCGCTAACAACAGCATTATTCATTTCCCCCGTTTCTGGATTGCTAACAACAGCATTATTCCTTTTTAATAATAATGATAATTATTCTTCTTTTTAAGATTATTATTATTATAATTGTTATTACTATTATGATGATGATGATGATGATGATGATGATGATGATGATGATGATGATGATGATGATGATGATGATTCACATTCTACAAAAACAAAGTAGAAGTTGAGGAAATGTTTAAAGCTACTGCATACAAAACAAAAGACAAAAAAGTTTCAACCATTCTATAAATAGCTACCTGGACATGGTGTCAATGAGAGACAACAGCGACTCGTTGAAGCTGGCTGCGACAGTCGGTGTCCGTGGTTTGAGCGTGACGTAGCGGCCGGTGGTTTTGCTGAGGGTCTTGGTGATGAGGCGGTCGCGTAGGTCCTTGAACATCTGAGACATCATCTGCACAGCCACGGGAAACATTTGTGTCATGACACGGTGTGAGTTACATAAATTTCAGTCAATTTTGGGGCATATAGAGGTATTGGTGTCATTTTAAAGCCTATTCTTTTGGCTTGTGTTTAATGAAATAATAATAATAGTAATAATAATAATAATAGTAATGATAATAATAACAATAATAATACATATCATTTATGGTAAGCATTCCCATTCTCTATAAAATCCTCAAGGCGCATTACAATTATAAAAATATCACACCTTAAAAATTAATGGACATGTGTGTACGTAAAACATAGTATTTTGCATATATATATATGTATATGTATAAAAATGTCTATGAGAAAAATAGTTATGCAGTATGTACTACCCATCTTTCATGAAAACTACTTGAGATATGAAGGAGGAGTTTGCCTGGTGTCAGAAGTAAAATGAGAGAGAAAATGTCCCCTTAAGTTCCATAACTTCCCTCTACGGATGTTTTGGTCATCATTGGACATTGACAGACGAACTATTATTATCATTATTATACATGTACATTGGTCATCATCAAACATTGACAGTGGGTGGCTGGCGGGTGCTCTGATGTGGTTTACTTCTTCTTTCCTATCAACCATCCATCCTCCTTATCTCTCCTTCTTTTTTATGTTTGTTACTCTTTTGTAACACCTCTAATCTTCGGCACTTATATGACCTTACTGCGTTGCAAGTGCCATAAAACACTTACTAAAACTAAAGTAAAACATTGACAGAGGAATTATTATTTTTGTTATTACTACAATAACCCACCTTGTTCTTACTCTCACACATGAGCTCAATCACGTCACTCCGCAGTGTGTCCTTGTTCTTCTCCAGGAAATGTTGCACCTGAAGTGTCACACACAAACATCACAAGTGTTAACCTTTCATGCCATTACAGATAAGTTAACCTATGATATTATTACAGATATGTTAACCTATAAAGTTGTCAGAGATGTGTTAACCTATCATGTTATTAGATATATGTTAACATAAGATGTTATTACAGACATGTTAACCTATTATATTATTAGAGATATGTTAACCTATCATGTTATTAGAGATATGTTAACCTTTCATATCATTAAAGATATGTTAACCTATCATGTTATAACAGATATGTTAACCTATGATGTAATTACAGATCTAAAACAAAAACATGTTAGATTGCAAAACATCTTGTCATTCTGTTAAAATGTTTGAACGTCTAATCGACTGCTTGCATAATTGCTTCCAGGAAAGCCAAGAACATTTCTCAGAGTTCAATAGTCCGCTGAGGCAATAATAAATTATATTTAGCACACACAGCCAGCTGTTAAATGGGGACATGTGCTATTTATTATTATTCATAACTATTCAGTAACATTACTCAATACATTAAGAGAAAAGCTCATCAGCGCATGAAGCCACAAATAACAAAAGTTCTAGGGGCACCAGAGCTTGATAGTGACCATTTTATTTTTGGTCTTGAGTAGGTATCTGTCAAAAAGGTGAACACCAAACCGATGTGCCAGCGTCAAGACAATAAAGATCAATCCCATCTTATCTTATCTCATCTCAACTCAGTTTACACAAGTTGCGACCTCGGTGCTTTCTTGTCGTATCTCCATTTTTAATAACAATGAAAACAGTTCATAACAAAGAGTGAGCTTAAGAAGAAGTCATATTTTCACTGCTAAAAAAATTTTTAATAACAGTGAAAACAGTACATAACAAAGTGAGCTTAACTCTTTGAACCCCATCAGACGCTGGGAGCGTCAGGCGGTAATAACCCCGTTTCCCAACAGACACTGAGAGCGTCCAGTACTAGTGACAACTGTTTCGTTTTATTCAGTGCTAGTTTTTGCTTATTTTTCGGAACTATTCCCGAATCAAGTTTTTTAGTAATGACTAAGCCTTTGTGTCTGCTAGGCCTTATTTAGAAATAGGAGGCAAACTTTTGGGGTTATAATGAGACATAGTGCACTAGGTTTAGGTGACTGTAGAAAAAAACTGCGGGAAACGGTAGAAAAAACTCAGAGCGTAAAGACTTAAGAAGAAGTCACATTTTCACTTTTATTTAAGAAATGGAGATTCGACAAGAAAACACCAAGATCGCGGAGTGCGAAGTGTATATCTTACATTGTACTTGATCTTCCCGGCGTAGTGGACGATGAAGAACTCTGGGTCAGACATGCGTGGCTTGTCGTAGAGCTCGTTGCCCGAGTGGTGGAAGTGACACTTCTCCAGGAACGACTGGTCCGACGCCTGAAACATACACACAATGCACGCCATAAGAGAATACGGGAATGTAGAGAGTATACAACACACACACAATGCACGTCATAAGAGAATACGGGAATGTAGAGAGTATACAACACACACACAATGCACGCCATAAGAGAATACGGGAATGTAGAGAGTATACAACACACACACAATGCATGCCATAAGAGAATGTGGGAATGTAGAGAGTATACAACACACACACAATGCACGTCATAAGAGAATACGGGAATGTAGAGAGTATACAACACACACACAATG